GGAGGACGTCACCTATGGCGTTATTCTGCTGCTACGCATTCATATTTTCAATTTTTCACTACACCGAATTCTTCTTCACAGCAATTTCGAATCGTCGTTCACTCCAATCGGATTCATTCTTGCTGAACCATTCGGTGGCGTATTGGATCGCTGCATTGGCAAGTTGGATGGAATTTTTTCTAGAGGTGTGTCTTCTAGAAGTTTTCTTGTGGTTTTTTTTCTGGGATTGCGATTTATCGGTTTTGATTTTGTTTACTTTTGAAGACGATAGCCCCAAAAAAGAGTCTGCGATTAACCGATCTACAGAAGCCATTCTTTCCATGAGGTATCACGGACCACAGTCGTAGAGGGTGTCCCTACTTTCACGAGTCTGAAGTACTCGTTAAGAATGCTACGGCTCTGCAAACATAAGCAGTCTCCGCCCTCGCAGTCCTGCTTCACTTTAGCATTTCCTTTCACCATCGCCACATAGATTTGTGTTCTCAATCATTTAAGGCGCTCTCCCGCTGTAACGTTTGTTTCTCTCTTGCACATGTTGTGTCTCTTCGCCACATGCTCCTGGAATGGTTGAAACCTACAGGTGTCTTCCCAGTTCCAGTAGTTCGACTACTCTTTCCAGTTAATCTACGCTTTCATACTTTGCGACTGGGAATATTGAAGACAGTCTCCGCGCTTAACCAGTTCATAAGCATTCTTCCTTGTTCAAGTAATCTGGCCCTCGTTCTCTGAGATTATCTCATTTTTGCACCCCAATTAAGTAGTAAGGCGCCGCGGCTTTCATAAGTGGGGGCAGTTCCTAGGCCCCGCCTGATGGGCCCCCCACCAGAACTAACTGGCTACTTTCCGTCACGAGTTCAGTGTTCACAGTTTTTTTTTCACTGTTAGATGGTATTGGGAGCATTGGATGAAACGAGGAAACGATTAGTGAGTCATAGAAGGCAGAATATCGCCTTGCTGACATAAAACGAGTAGGTCCTAAGAATTCTCTCTGTAAGCCTGCCAGAGGTCCTTGCTTGGATGTTACTCCATGATCTTTGCCTCTATGCCTTCTCTGATGAGTCACTTAGCGAGTAAATGTTTGCAGCGAACGACGCTATCCACAATATGGAATCGCGGAGTTTGTTTTCAACTGCGATTCGACGGTATTAGAACGGTTACTCCTCCCAGTGCTACACAGTTGTGTAGCTTCCATACTTTGCGACTGGGGAGATGAAATCGGTGAAACAACTCACCTCAGAGGGATGTTAGAATCGATTTTGTGAGGTGGAAAAATCCAGGTGAATAGCAAAGTGTCTCTCAAAGGAGTAAATAGGAATCAACCGATATCTGTCACCAGCAAATCGGCGGAGTGGAAGATTACTCGTGAAAGCCGTAGATGGCAATCTTCCAATATTTGGTTCCCCTAAAATCTGTATTCACCGATTCGGTACATTCCTATCGTCACAGGATGTCACACTCTGTGTCACATTTTCTTCGAATCTTCTATTCCCAAGTTACAAATTATGAATGCGGGCTTACAACGTATTACAGGCTACCCTCTCAGTTTCCCTAGTGTATGCGATGAAACTACCTTCGTAACCCTCCTTGAGGAGAATCCTGCAGATCTAACGTCTACAGACTTTCGAACATGGAGTTTGCGTATAAACGGCATATTCGCCACGATCCTGTCATTTCTATTAGTGCCTATCGACAGTATTGCCATGGCGACTGAAGCCGCTACAGCTTCCAGGGATTGCACTGAATCGTGACATTTTGGAAAAAGGGGTTTGAAAGACTTCCCTTCTGAAAAGAACTGTCCTGTGCTTGTATTGCAGGTGTATTTGGCTCCGTTCCTGAAAGTGCAGACCATCAGTATGCTAGGAGTGGCAGCATGTATATGTGGTGAAATTATTCGTAAGCTTGCTATGCTCCACGCAGGAAATGGTTTCACACATCGATTAGCACTATCAAAGCGTCCTGATCATCGACTTGTGACGACGGGCATCTATGCTTTTCTTCGGCATCCTGGCTATACAGGTTTGTTTTGCCGAAAAATTTTAAATTCAGAAACAGGAAGCCGTTGGGTATAAGGCTCTTTGAGAATTTCACTTCAGGATGGTTTATGTGGAGCATAGGTACACAACTCATACTGTGCAACCCGTTATGTTTGTGCGGTTATGCCTACGTCAGTTGGCATTTTTTCAATGAACGGATTTACGACGAAGAACGAGACCTAATTAACTTTTTCGGTGAGTGGTTACTGATGTCTCGAAGTTGGTCAACCTCAAGTGAGAAGTCTAGTTCGGTACTATGCTGTGGAACGAATTTTCGCGAATTTCAGTAGCTAGAAAAGGGCATACATATTACAAACTTTTGACGCTATTGTCTGGATGATTGGGACGCGCTCATAATTGGCGATGAGAGCACATAGTTTCTTTTGAGTTGCAGCGAAGGAGACGAGCAGCATGCGCGCAGGGACCCGATCCGCTCAGGCTGCGTTCATACTTTGCGGCAGCGTCCACCGGAGACCATCAGCTTTTCGGGTGTCCGTCAGCATTAGCGACTACTTGAATCGATCTAGCGGACACCAGCGTCTACCAGCGACCATCAGCGTCTCGAGAAACTAGGGAAGCATATGTATCGAACTACAAAGCGAGCGTTCATCAGCGATCACCAGCGAGTAGAAGGTATGAGGAAGTGAGAGGGAGGAGCTGGATTAGGCGTCGTGAAAGTGTGAAGTGTGCAAGCACACCGGACTACTAACTACACAGTACCGGATTCCTGGACAGGCTGGAGGTAGCTGGTGGACACTGGCATTCCGTAGATCGATACTACATTTCCTGGTCTCTCGAGACTCTGCTGGTCTCTGATGGACGCTGTTAGACGCTGCCGTTCGCTAGTTCGATATCTACACTTTCCTAGTTGCTGACGCGTACGAACACTCAGAACGCAGGTGGTCGCTGGACGCTGAGCTTAACTTTTTTGCTTGTTGCGCAAACGTGGCAAAAAGTGATTTTGCCGTCACTACTACTTCAGTTCTCACCTGAGCTTGTCTGAAGAAAAGTTTGCCTCCATTTATTACTGCGCTTGGACTCCTTGTAGACTACAGTGCACTACAGTGCTTCTACAAGGAGTCCAAGCGCAGTAATAAATGGAGGCAAACTTTTCTTCAGACAAGCTCAGGTGAGAACTGAAGTAGTAGTGACGGCAAAATCACTTTTTGCCACGTTTGCGCAACAAGCAAAAAAGTTAAGCTCAGCAGGGATCCGATCCCATGACCTGTTGCGTGGTAAACGCGGCTCCATAACTCCGTTCAGAGAATCGCTTTGCAAATTTTGAAGGCAGATTCAAGATCAGCGTCCAAAACCACGTCTAGTGATCTACATCTCATCACAAATGGCCACTTCGACCTGACGACCTTCCCTAGTCAGTTCGAAAGGATCTAATGCTTTTCGTCAATTCGCCACTTTTTCATTTCGCCACTATCGCAAGCTGTGAACGCGACCTTAGATACTCATTTCTCAATTTTCTGAGTTGGTGTTAGAAGTAAAAAATAACGAAAGATAGCTTTTCAGGTCAACAATATATCAACTATCGGAGAAGTGTGTGGGTTGGTGTACCTTTTGTTAAAGGATTTGAACCATAATCGTGCTCAAATTTGTCTCTATCGATCTCACAATTCAATGCTCAATTGTTAATGGTAACAATATGTACAGAAGAATGAAATTATTCAATTTTTCGCGGTTTGGTTAATTCGAATCTGAAGGTTCAGATCACCTACTTGGTGTTAACTCCATTTATCTCGATATCTTTGAATTTTTTCTACATTTTTTTCCGTTTTTTTTCTACATTTTTCCGCTTTCTTTGAAGATCCTTTCAAATCATGTTTCAAGTTTTCGCTCTGTCATGTTTCGTGGTTCTCATGGTTTATGAAATCGATGCTCCTGTTCCGTTAATATTTCGAGATGCTTCAACGAGTCTGGAGAAGCTAAATGCTGTTCCTCGATGCGTAGCGATCATGTTTTCCAGTTTCGCGTCACTTTCGCCTGCTTATTCGATTCTTTCTGAGTGGAGCTTTCGAGGGATTGAATTGTACATTTGTAGCTAATTTCACTATTTTTTTTATTACCAGTGTCTCCAGGCTATGAACAGAAACCGGCGAATGGGAGGTAGAGACTGGTTACCGATAATAGAGGTGCATTGTCGATGACGACCTTTCGTTTTGGATTCACTCCTCTTGAACCGATCCTCTCATTCCAGTGTTGGGCTGTGCCAAATCGTTCGATTGGTATGCTGTTCTTTTCGCCGTTTTCCCATTCCTCTGGTTCCAGTTCCTCTGTACGACGCTTTGAATGAACCACTCCTTGCAAAAAGGCTGGTGATGAAAGTTGTTTTATAACTGCTGTTCAACGCCGCACGCTCCGAAAGTGCTGAGTTGGGGACCAATTGGCCTTAGGTGGGACCTGAACTCGCATTTTCCGTTAATCGGGCGATTGCGCCATCCATTACGACACTGGAGCTGCTCTTACCCTCTCAGCTCAATGGCTTTTGAGCCTAGCCTTAAGCACTCATACGCTAGAGGTGATTACCCTTTTAGCCGATATCTGGCACGATGGCTGAGGCGGTCAGTCACTGGGAGTAGGATGTGGCCAAATCTCTCCGAGCACTTCTGCCAATGAAGTTGGCAGTATCCGCGTGCTCCCAGGCAGTGTACCCCCCTGCCTTTAATATGACAACTGCCCTCAAGGCCATCCTGCGCACTCCAAAAGTTATCACAAGAGGGAAAAGTCATGGAGCTGAGAAGATAAGGGCGAGCCGGGTAACGTAATGGGTACGTACTCACCCGGTCCGCGGAAGATGCGGTTCGACGGTCGCTCGGGGTCTAAGTTTCGCCCACCCACATCTCAGCACTCCTATGGGTATGAGGTTTCGTCTGAGTAAGTGGCTGAATGAAAAATCTTTAGGCACTGTTTTGGAGTAGAGAGGGATTGCTAGATTGTTTTTTCTCTAGTTTACTCGTTTTGAGAGACGTGAGCTCCTGTAAGCTTATGAAGTGATATGAGTTCTTACATATGGCTTTATCAGCTTCACAAGAGTTTACTGGTTCTCACCACGATGGGACTCAATGAAATGCCCTTTCGAGGCGAACTATCAGGCAACCAAAAAAGTTCGTGCGGTTTTTTTTAATTGTCTACTTTTATGAAGTATATTCAGTAAACTGGATCTAGTGGTAGGGTAACTTTGAATACATGTTAAGACATATGTCAAGGAGTGTCATTCAGTCCACCAGGACAATGCAAGACCACACACTGCAAGAATCACTCAGGAAACAATAGCGCGACTAGGATGGGAAATTCTACCTCACCCTCCGTACTCGCCAGACCTTGCTCCAAGTGACTATCATCTGTTTTTGGCCTTGGACAACCACATGAGGAATCGGCGACAACCACATGAGGAATCGGCGATTTGAAAATGAAGTGGCTTTGGACAACGAACTAAAACATTTCTTTAATTCCCAAAAGCAAGATTTTTACAAAAATGGAATATATGCTCTTGTGTCTAAATGGGAAAGTGTATTACTTGCTGAGGGTAATTATTTTTCGGAATAAATCTAAGTTTAACCCGTTTTTATGTTATTATTTCGCTACCTTCAAAACCGCACGAACTTTTTTGGTTGCTTGATACATACACTTTTGTTTTATTTGTTTGTCTTTTGTTGTGGAGTCTTCTTCAATACACTTGATTTTTTATTCACTAACAATAAGTTGCATGCAGTTCTTACTACAAAGGGTTTGAATCTTCTTGAGCTCACTGTATAGGGGAGGAAGCTAATCTGACAGAAGACCAGTAAGACGATACTTTTGAAGGACTGCTTATTTTGTCAGTGAAGGCTACTCTGTTTGAACTACTTCGACCTGTGACACTGAGTCACCTAGGTCGTTCCGAAACTTTGTTTGCTCCTGACGTACTTTCTTATCGTGATCAGCTATTTATAGTTTTTGGCCACGTTTTCTGGGTGGGTTCATTCACAATGCTAACAAGCTCTAGGCATAGTCATCTTAATTTCCCATGTATGATGAACAAGTTCTTTCTGATGCTTGTTTTTTGTTTCCTCCGTTTTTGTTATTTCTAGAAGTTCTTTTCTTGGCTGCGTGACAGTTGCTATGCTAGCGAGTGCAGCTGTGCAAGAGAGGTTATTTGTTGTCTGCAGCTTCAGTCTGGGTTCGAAAACGAGAACACATGATGTCATTTAGCTGCTGCTGTAGGGTAAAAAATGTTTTTCTGAGGTTCGCGTGTTGCGGCCATATTTCCTTCCTTAAACGACCAGCCTGGCGCTCGACGTAGTACATGGTCATCCTTGCCTTGTGCAACGTAAGCCCAACAGCTAGAGCTGTCTCACTCACTCATTCGTCTCTGCACAGCGGCGAGACAGTGAGCTACAGCAGGCTGAAAGTCTAGACCGCCCGCTCAAGCTTGGACCGCGGCACTCTTGCTAGATGCCCTCTGCACGCGAAGGGCAGCTGAGCTTGCTTATTGTTGTGGCGGCTGGACATAATCGGAGTTACAATGTCCTGTTTTTGCTGACCGCGCTCCTGACCAATGAATGATCTCCTGGCTCTCCTTCATATACTAAATTATCATTAGGAGCACCATGGCGGAGACTCAAACCCATCTCGCAAGGTAAAAACCCTAGAGGGATCATAAAAGCTCGACGTCATTACAACTACAGCTAAAAAGATGGCATGCTATCGGTAATCCTAAACTCGCCGATGTTTTTGACAGGTTATTTCCTTTTCAGGAGCTTTTTTCCGTCGTTTTCATGTTTTCCGTATTCTTTTCTGCTTCTGAATTGGAATGATATTCACTACTGGAGACTGTGATAACGGGATTTGGCGGCCAGGGGTTGCACAGAGCCGCAGCGCGGTGTGACGCAGGGCAGCAAGTTCTGTTGTGGTGTTCTTGAGAACTTCTTTGCTGTATTTCCTTTAGGAAATCACTTATCAGCTACTGTTTCATGATACACAGCAATTATCCCATGAGCCTTTTATGCGCGGATGCTATCATTAAGATCAAACTAAAAGGCCGCGCTTCCTCCGAGTTCTAGTCTCTATGTGCTTCTCGATGGAAGTGAATGTTCCGCTACTACCTCTCTTATTTCAAACTTTTTTTGTAGAGTGAGATAAGGAGGTCGAGCTGGCACCCCGCAGCGTGTGAAACTCGTCTAAAGCGCTCCATTGCCTTTGTCTTGCGCGTGCAAGCGCGGTTCAGGATTAGACTCTGTAAGGTGTATTCTGGCGAGTTTTGTTCCGCTATTTTCGTAACTTTAGTATGACCGTCACCTCATATTTCTCTTCGCCCGCACAACTGTCATTTTTAACGCGGGCGTGCCTTTGAGGTCGTTAAGGCAAAATGCAATCTTCAATATTCTTATAACTTTCTAGACTGTAGCCATACGCTTCAATGAACGCGCTTACATCACGGTTTAAAAATGACTCCTCATTTATCATGTGCTGCTATTTGTCCTTTGTTGTTGCTTTGGCGAAGCTAATTAGTCAGGTTTTAATCGACCACAGTGTCGATCATACTCTTTTGACTTTGTCCAAGTGTTCCGATTTTCGAGTCCACATTAGGTTTCCAGCCGTGATCTTGCCCCGCGAACGCTCGTACGTGCCTCTCGATTTTCTGTCAATCTTTTCTTATTCTGATTGCCGTTCGTTGTGCAATATTTCGTGGATATTTGCAGAAGTGCTGAAGTTCTGTGGCAAAATGAAAAAACCTTTTTTGAGATTACCCAGTGGGTGATGCAAAGGTGAAAATGGCTTTTTGCATAGGGACGAGAATGCACAGCAACTCCGGGTTACATGGGAAAACATCGTCCTGTGGTTTGAGGGTCTCATGCTCTTGCAGGCTGCTATGAAACGCGCAAATATATCTTTTTCTTAATTTTTTTCCAGGACCAGTCTTGTTTGAACTGCTGAAGCTCTACAGAAAAGAAGTGAAGCACATTTTAGGAGTTGTGTGATTTAATCACGATATCCACGATAAATTCCCAAGAAGTGTAAAATTAACATGCGCTAGTGGGACACGAATAGAGCTCTTGAAGAAGGCGCTGCGTCGATGCCTTTTCAACAGGAAGGTACCTTATTGCGCCTATAAAGCTGCAACAATACCGACTCGGACGCGGCCACCGGCGCCGCGCCCCCGCCCAAGATGTACGACCGATGCTGATGCGCGTATCGCTTCATTTGCGAAGTACTACATGAAGCGAAGGGATTGAAAAGATGCGGCTGTGGTGCTGCATGGATATATGGTATATACATGCAACCGTATCTACCGTAGGAGTTAATGGCACGATGCCAACGGGAAAATCGCCCGAAATTACATCCTCAAGTCGTGTGGAAGTTTCCGCTTGGTTTCTCATCGCTCTTTCTCTAAGTTTTCACTTAACACTCTTGTATCCTTTAGACTGAAGTATCCAACTATCGTGCTTATGCCCTTGACGTTCTCTTGTTTTATATATGTGATGCGAAATATCCGATTTCCATTTACAAGCGCGGGGGCATTTAAAAGCATTCTCAGCGTATGACAATGGAACAAGCGGTTTATATGTCCGACCAGTTGTTCAGATCAATGCTTGTGATGTCT